ATGATGATGATGAAGTCATCAAGCCCTTGTGTTTCTCTTGCATTTTTCCTGTTTTGCATATCCTCCTCTAGAGGCGCTTGCTGCTCAGAAAGAAAAGTCTTGACTCTATGACAAACACTCCAAAAAGAAACGCTCACACTTATCTTCTAGCACACTTATCTTCTATCTTCCATGGGCTGCTTACAGTTGTGAAGCATTGTCTTGCTTTGGAATTGCTTTGTCCTGAAACACTTTCCCTCAGCCCCATTCTCTATTCCCTTCCACTTTAATTTCCTGCTTACTCTTTAAATTGGGATTGAGTGGGGAAATGTTTCCATTTTGTGCAAATGTTGCATCTACCTCCTCACTCCCTTGACTGTGAAGAGCAATCTCAGGTCTAGATAAGTCTTTGTGATGTTTCATTACAATGGTTGTTGACTTCAATCTGCCACCCAACTGTTTGACTAATGCCGCAGTCTGGCTGGGCACAATCAGGAGCCACTTGTCAAAAGAAACTAACTTTATTTTTAGAACCACACACGACAAACAAAATAGTCTCTCAGGAAAAACCCTCAGAGCCTCAACTGCCACCACCGGCTTTCCCCAAGCCTCTCTCTCCCCCACAAGCTTCTCTCCACCTCCCACAATCCTCCTGCTCTTGAGGCCGATTGGCTGGGTCACGTGGGCGGAGCCAAAAAAGTCCCCCAATGAGCAGCTCCGTGGTCTGAAAGGGCAGGGAAACAGTCCAATGAGCATCACCGCAGAGGAGCCAATCAGCTAGATGTTGCTGGGGCTGAGGAGCCAATCAGCTAGATGTTGCTGGGGCCGCTGTGAGCCAATCATCAGCCAGCAGCTGGAAGTTTGCTGGCAGCTGGAAGTTTGCTGGGGCCCCTTTGGCTGTGGCTCTCAACATCTCCCCCTCTCTGTTTAAACAACAAGCATGTGGCTTAGGGACCGTGCCTGTTAGGCAGTCCAATTCAACATATGGTCCTTACCCGTCATCGGATGAACTGACCTCTAGGCGTCAGCCTCCTGTCTTAGGTTGGTACCACTGCAATTGGATCATACCCGTCACTGACTACCGGTCCAGCATACAGCCATACTTGTGGATAGGCCTTTGCACCTGTGGGGGGGTGAGGTTCTTTGCCTCACCTCTGTTGGCCCCCAAATTTTAGACCATCACTAGTAGAGGAGGATGCAAAATGCCATGACATTAAGCCAATTGAGGGCTCCTTTGAAAAATTGTACCACCGGTGACATCATCAGCAAAAATACTCCAGCACTACCACAATTCGCTGTACCAACAGATAGTTCACAATGCATACAGGTGAGCTCACAATGTGTCCAGGCAAGTTCTGCAAGCAGTTCAGTGATGGCTATTGTAGAAGCTGTAGATTGGTTTTATCTTTGACTTCACCAGCACTGGGATGAAGATAGGAATTCTGGCAATAATGGCTAAAGAAAAAATTATGTAACATTACAGAAGGCACTAAAAGAAAACAATTTTCTTAACAATTTACATTGTCTTCACTGGCACTGGGATGAAGATAGGAATTCTGGCAATAATGGCTAAAGAAAAAATTATGTAACATTACAGAAGGCACTAAAAGAAAACAATTTTCTTAACAATTTACATTATCTTTAAGAGAATTATTAAATATAATGAAAAGGAAAGGTGAAAGTAAACAAACAGTTCTGTTAACCTTCTTTTTTGTTTACATATTAAAACAATCCTCAACAGTTGTTTACCCAATTTAAATTAAACCATATAAATCAAGTGAAAAAAAAATATTTGGATCCATTTTATCATGAGCGCTCATCATATATGATATATGGACATACGTACATTCAAACATATAACACAAAACACAAGTGTGCACACATAATATAATACATACAACACATAACATTATAGTAAAGGCCTTATAACTTTTTACAGGTGAAATCTCCATTGCAATGCTTAAAAACTCTATAGTCAAAAAATAGAACTGATCAGCAAAACATTAACCTAGGTCTGTATGAGCTCAAAAAACAAAATAGAACTTCATGATATGGCAAAGGGCAATAATAAAATAGATATTGAAAAAAGCATCCTGGTTCTGTTGCAGATGTAAGAATAGCCAAACTGGAGTTTTGGATATCAGTTGTTATGGATTTGAGCCAAATCATCTTCTTTTTGGTCTGTAGAAATCGCTTTAGTTAATCTTTCTGGAATCCAAATCGGCTGCTGTTCTCCCTGTGGAAACACATAAACAGACCCCCGACTCCAGACAATCACTGGGTGAGGACCTTGGTTAATCTCTCTGGAATCCAAATCGGCTGCTGTTCTCCCTGTGGAAACACACAAACAGACCCCCGACTCCAGACAATTACTGGGTCAGGACCTTTCCATTGTCCTGTTAGAATATCCTTCCAAAGTACCTTGGGCTTATGTACATTTTTTGGACACATATGCCTTTCCGCAGCACTAAGTCCTGATGAATCCAAATTTAAAAAGTTTAGAGTAAAAAGGGTTATTTTAAGTTTATCTTTGGGGAATATATACCCCTTCCCAATTCCTTCTTTTTGCTTTAATAAGTACATTTTAATAGTTTGATGAGCTCTTTCAACTATGCCTTGTCCCTGTGGATTGTATGGGATTCCTGTTATATGAGTAATGCCAAATGTTGAGCAAAATTGTTTAAAAGAGGTAGAAGTATAACCAGGGGCATTATCTGTTTTTAACTGTTTTGGAACACCCACAGTGGCAAAATTTTGTAAGCAATGAGCTATAACATCTTTAGTTTTGCTGGGGCCCCTTTGGCTGTGGCTCTCAACAGACTGCAACTCTAACCATCAAACCATCCTGTTCAACACCCCCTTCCACTGCAGGCTCTGTCTTCACCTGTGGTTCTTCTGTTAAGTTCCTTGTAAACTGGCCTCACTCTTCTTTTTCTGAGAGTCCCATAACAAGGACTTGCCCAATGCCTGTAGATGGTGTTGAATGTCCTTGCATCCTTCTACTTTTAGGTCACCTTTCTCTGACTTAAGGGACTAAAGATGGCTTTGTCCCTTTCTCTTTGTTTGAGTATCTATGTCCCAAAGGAATGATATCCATCCTAAAGTTCTCTGCCAATTTTCTCCCAGGGGGCCCAAGGATTCTCATGTAAATTAGAGGAGTATTTGGCCTGACAGGTGAGAGCACCCAGTGGAAGCATCTACCTTCTCCTAACCCTTAGGGTCAGGGACAGAGGAGGGGAGTTTTTTTTTTATTATAGACTGCTTCATTCTTCCCTGATCCAAGCTACAAAAGCTTTCAGACTGACACAGTTACTTATATAGTAACCCACATATCTAAGCATCTCCATGTGGGTCTGAAAAAGAACCAAAAGGTCGTGAAAAAATAACAAATGAGTTTCTCTTTATAGTTCCTCATAACTGGTCTATCTGCAAAACAATGAGGTCTTTGATTCATTTTGCCAAGAGGTCATTTAGAATTGGGAAGAGCCTCTCTGGTCTCAGTTTTACATCCTATTCAGGGAGAGATACAGGTCAATAGTAGGATTAGCTGATGGGATTAGAATTCTGGGAATAAACCTAAACTCATTGATTTCTTAATTCTACAAACAGTATTTCCAAAAAAAAATAAATAACAGAAAACAGCAACATACAATTATTAAGGCCTAAATGTAAATGAAATACATTTCAAAACTACAGAAGTGGTAATGGACAATATATGTTATTAGCGAAACTCCAACTTGAATTGGGTAACACATAGAAGAAAATTAAGCATGAGATGAGTAGAAAGAGATGAATATTTGTGTATATATGTAAATATTACATATAATTAAATAATATTTTAAAATAGAATAAATTAAATAATGAAAAATATAAATCATATATATGTCTTTTTTTTTTTTTTAGGAAAAAAAAAGGAAGTGGGTGGGTAGAGCTTAAGCCTTTAAGCAAATAAGCCCTCAGCTGGGATCATAAAAGCACATATCAAGGTTACAATATTAGCAGTCACCTTTGAAGTCAGAGCACAGAAAATATCCCCTGTCTGGGATATTCCCTGGGATGAGGTTTTTCCTTTTCTCCAGATCAGGTGAGTCAGAGCATTTGTAGAGGCCCCTGGGCACTCAGAGACTCCTGCCAGGCTTTTCCTGCCCTAGAGGGGAAAGAGGCTGCAGGTTAGCCCTGGGGAAGTTCAAGGACCAGGGCCAGGAATGGCAGCAGAAGGAGCAGGAATAACACCAGCACCCTGCTGAATGGAAAAGTAAAGAGCAGATCAAAGAACTTCAAGGCTCACTTGTGGTGGGGACCTGAGGATCCCAAAGTATATTCTCTGTCACCTCATTTATTGTTGCCAACTGTGGTTTGAGTAGTGGCTTCTGTGACTTCAGCTCCCAGTTGCTCAGTCCGGGATAAAACCCATGGTTGTCCCAATGGACTGGTCAACCTCCCTCCAATGGAACTGTTGCACTTTCATTGCTGAGAGCTGCTAATTGGTCTTCAACTGATGGTTGGTGCTTTCGTAACAAGAATCAGAACCACAATAATAAGGATGCAGCACTGACCTGGAAATTGTACTTAGCATTTGGACTAGACATAGATGTAAACAGACACATTTCATGCCTGCTGGGCTTAGTACTCACATGTTAAGGACAGACATGAAGGACTTGGGAAAGACACAAGCATGCTCCGTCTAGTATACATTTAAAAAGAAAAAAAAAAAGAATAAGCATTTTTGGGTTGGGCTTACTTGCTTTGCCTTTTTATTGGCATTTCCTGATCCATGATTGGGCTTCCAGAAAGCAAGTCTGGAGGAGCAATCTGAAGGGGGGAGAGAGGGTCGATGATATCTGAATTCCATAATTACGACTTTAATTTCTGCAATCGGCTGGAAGCTGTGTTGCAGGCTCTTGCTCCAAAAAAAAAAAAAAAAAAAAAAAAAAAAAAAAGCAAGCCAAGTGGGATGGAAGTGGGTTAGGATATTATATAAGCTCTTTGCGGGAGGGGAGATGGTCTTTTATGTGTGCTCTTTTGCGGCTGCTGCTACTGCAGCAGTAGCGCAGCAGCAAGAGCGGCTCAGGTTGATTTAGAATACGGATGACAGTGGCCTGGCGCGAGCCCACGACTGACGAAAGCTGCTTATCCCGCTCGGTTTCCATGGAGACGAGCAGGAGCAGCGGCGGCAGCGGCAGCAGCAGCGAGGCTGTCAGGGAGCTCGGCTGCTATCGCGCGTCCGCGGGGGTCTGCAGGAGGAAGGAGGAGGCCGGGGCTGGGACCCTCGCGGCAGACATGGACTTGCATTGTGATTGTGCCGCTGAAACGCCGGCCGCCGAGCAGCCGTCGGGGAAGATTAATAAAGCTGCTTTCAAATTATTCAAGAAGAGGAAATCGGGTGGCACCATGCCCAGCATTTTTGGGGTCAAAAACAAAGGGGATGGGAAAAGCTCAGGTCCGACGGGGATGGTGAGGAGCAGGACCCACGACGGATTAGCCGAGGTGGTGGTGCTGGAGGGCAGCAAAAAGGAGGAGCCGCGCGCCGGGGGCGACAGTGGCGGGGGCCGTGGCGGCGGTCGGCCGAACCCTGGGCCCCCCAGAGCCGCGGGGACCGGCGTGGGCTCCCTAGCCAACAGCTCGGTGGCTAAGTCTCACAGCTTCTTCTCCCTTTTGAAAAAGAACGGGAGATCGGAAAACGGCAAAGGAGACCCTGCAGATGCGAGCAAGGCTGGCGGCAAACAAAAGAGGGGGCTGAAAGGGATCTTCAGCAGTATGCGCTGGCACAAGAAGGACAAACGCGGCAAGGAGGAGGAGAAGGAGGCGCACGCGGCCGGCCAGGGCAGCCTGATCTTGCCGGGTTCGCTCACCGCCAGCTTGGAGTGCGTCAAGGAGGAAACGCCCAGAGCCGCGTGCGAGCCGGAGACCCCCAGCCAGGACGCCCCTAGAGACCCAGCAGGTGAGCTCGGAGGGGGAGAGGAGGTGCCTGCCTCCGCTGATCGCGCCCCAGCGCGGACCTGCCGCGAGGCCGAGAGCCCCGGGTGCCCTAACGACAAAAGCGCCCGGGGAGAGGACGCCGCGGGGCATCGGCGCGCCGAGAAGCCCCGGGCACCCCCTGAGTCGGGAGCTGGTGAGGTCCACACTGCCGAGGATGCTTCCAGGACAGGTGACGTTCCGATAAAGACTGTCCCCCTTGTCGACTCTGAATGTGGCAGCGGCCGGGCGTCTGCCGTCCCTGACCCTTCCTCTGTCGATCCACCCTCAGACCCATCGGCAGATCGTATTTGTTTGATGTTTTCTGACGTGACTTCACTGAAAAGCTTTGACTCTCTTACAGGCTGTGGAGATATTATTGCAGACCAAGAGGAAGAGGCAGGTCCCAGCTGTGACAAGCATGCCCCCGGGCCAGGCAAGCCAGTTCTCTCTAAAAAGAACCCCAGCGTGGTGGCCTACCAAGGAGGAGGGGAAGAGATGGCCAGCCCGGATGAGGTGGACGACACCTATCTCCAGGAATTCTGGGACATGCTCTCCCAGACTGAGGATCAAGGACAAGGGCCCCAAGAGGGAGCGGCTAAGGTGGCAGCTGCACTGGAGACCAAAGTGGTGCCAGAGACCTCCAAAGATGCCAGAAGTGTAGAAGCGTCCAAGGACGTGTCCTTGGTCAAACGCAGGAGGCTCAACAGGATCCCCATTGAGTCCCATCCGAAGGAACAGCCCAAACACCCAGAGAAAGAGAAGGAGCAACAAGAAGGCGTCCCCAACAGTGACGAGGGCTATTGGGACTCGACCACTCCGGGTCCAGAGGAAGAAAGCGCAAGCAGTGGTAAAAAGGCTGGCATCCCCCGGGATAGCTACAGTGGGGATGCGCTCTATGATCTCTATGCTGACCCGGATGGAAGCCCAGCAGTCCCTCCTGCCAACGAGGAGACGTCTTGCTTGTCTCGGTTAAAGCCTGTGTCTCCAGGAACCATCACCTGTCCACTGCGAACACCAGGCAGTTTACTGAAGGACTCCAAAATCCCTATTAGCATCAAGCATCTCACGAACCTTCCATCCAGCCATCCAGTTGTGCACCAGCAACCAACCAGGAGTGAGATGCCCAGAACAAAAATTCCGGTCTCCAAAGTGCTGGTTCGCAGGGTCAGCAACCGGGGCTTGGCTGGAACCACCATCCGGGCAGCAGCTTGCCACGATAGTGCCAAAAAGTTGTGAGGTCTCCGATGCCAAGGTGGATGGGCCACATATCAAGGAATACAACTTTCCCCCTGGAAACCATTAAAGGATATTTGCTTCCCCTAAAGAAAGTCATTTAGTACAGCCCCCTTCTCTGGAGCCTGGACCTATTAGGTCTTTGTGCTGGGAACAGGGGCAGGATACAGCGGAGAGGGGGATGCTACACCTGGGATTCTCCTCTCAAGATAAGTCCCTGAGAATTATTTTCAAGTACTTTTTTTTCTTTTTCTTTTTTTAACCTTTAAAAAATATTTTTTGTTCCTTTTTCTTTAATACACTGAACCCTTGGAAGTCACCTTTACTTGCCTTTGCAGAAAACAAGACTTAACCAAACCTAAGTTAGCTCATGCCAGGATATTGGGCTGTGCTAGAGTCAGAGGGCCTGGAGGAGTCACTGCAGACCAGAGGACACTTCCCTTTCTTTCTTTCCTTTTCCTTTTCAGAGATGGGTGGGGGGAAGACCCATTTCTGTGTCACTGTGTGGAAAACATCTAACAAAGCTGAAAGAACCAGGGAGTTCTACCTGATCAAAAGGGATTTTGGTTGACAGAAAACTTCCCTACTTTCGTTGGCTAGGTGTGCCAATAGGTATAGATTTATCACTTGGAAAATAAAGAAAAGTTTTGGTTTGGTTGGTTTAGATCATTTGGGGATAAATAAAAGGCTTACAGAGTAGTTTTTCACTTTTTGTTTGTTTGTTTGGGGGGGATCACCTGCCCCTATCTACCCAGTACAAAAATCCAGATCAGGGAAAGATTTCACTAAATGCCAATAGATACAGTATTTTAGCATTTAAAATTTAACCTTCTCATGTAGATAATGCATATTTTACAGCTCATCCCACTGTTAATATTTTATAATCTGTCAATACCCTAGAATTTAAAATCTGGTCTTATAGCTGGATATGATGACTATCCCCAAACCATTAGGTTCTTTTATGTACTGTAACCTGATACAGAGCTGGTTTGGGTTTATAAGGGCTCTCTGGTCCTCAAAAAAGATCTATTGTGTTGGTGTCCCAGAGGAATGGTTTTACCTTGTCTTGATTAAGAGTCCATTTGTTTTTCACCTCAAACCCTTGTTTTCAAAGATTTTATCTTAGTTATAAAATTTTAAATCCAACATTTCATCAATGGTGGTGAGTCCAAAATGAAGGACACAACAAAAAACCATAGAAAGTAGTGTTTCCTGCCATCTGACTTTTGCTTTATAGATCATGGCTGAGACAGGTGTGTTTGGAATGAAATTGGCAAGCTTATGCATCATAAACACATTATTCTAAGATTTTTTTTGAGAAGCAGTTTAATTATATGTATGTTTTCTAATATTTCAGCCAAGACTTTTATTCCAGAAAGGATTATTACATGCCTTGGTAGTTTGAAAGATAAAGTGAAGCAGTTCCTAGAATGCTATTAGTGTCTAGTGACTAAATTAATATCATTTTGAAATGTGCTTCAGTGTATTCAATCAAAAGGCCAGAACTTCTAGTGGAGGTGATTCATCATATCAGGAGGATTATACATATTCAGGTGAAAAACCACCATGTAAATGACATGAACGCTTCTATAACTCTCATTTGCCAGAAATTACTAAGTAGTGGACTGTTATTTTGTTTTTAAATTTGTTTTCTGTTTTGTGAAAAAAGAAGGCAAGTTAAAATATGAAAACCTATTTTGATAAATGAAATTGAAATCAAAAGAGAACAAATCTGAGTCAGTGATGTGAGCAGCTTGTTTCCCATTTTAAATTCAGAAGGATTGAATTAGAAAAAGAGGTAGAAGCTTGCTGAATTTCTTTATTTATTACTGGCTATTATTGTGTTGTTTCAGATCCTTAATGTTATTTCAAAACAGTATTTTAATATTTAATATCCTTATATCTCTAGATAAGGATCTTCCTGCAGACATAGCTTTCAGGGTACTGAACACAAACTACAACAAATTCATACAAGCATCCTGCACGTGCTCACGCACTCAACTGCGTACAAACTAACAGACAAAAGACATCTAGAAATATTTAGCTTTAGAAATATCTTGGAAATTATTTCTGTTCTTGAGAAAGGGCTTTAAATTTGATTTAATGCTGATAGTACTATTTAGACTCAAAATACATTCATTTTCCCCCAGTGAATCAGAGAAAACATAAATTTTATTTCTAGCTGCAAAACAAAGGCTCTGTTTTTATTTCCTTCTTGTGCATTTTCTGGCAAGAATTATATTGTCCTTTGCATGACTCCAGGGCCAAGTTTTATTTCCTCATCTGTTCAATTGTGCAGTAAAAGTTAACAGTACCTGAAGAACCGAGAAATTGTAAAGTCAATCTATTTCTAGAAGATTAGAAGAAACAATTTGTGTTTTTATAATTTGGGGACTTATTTCTGCAATGTACAGTAAAGTTTTAAGTTCTCCTGTCAATTAATTGATTATAAAAGATTTAAAATATTTTAAAAGTTATTTTCCCCATATTTTCAAAACTTTTAAAACCTGATATCTCTACGAATTGCACCCACACTAGTCAAATGAAGGATTTGGGCAATGAATTAAATGGCCTCGATCACTTGGTGGGGATCACTGCAGTGGTGGGAGGAATGGGTGGCCAACTTTTTCCAACCACAGGAGAGGAATCATAGTTGCTTTCTTGTGCCAAGGGCTACTTTGTCTCATTTGAATTAATGGAGATGATTTTTTAATATTTTTCTCTTGAATTCCATGTCAATTTTTATTAATGCACTTTCTAATAACCCTGTAAAGATTATTTAGGCCCATAGTTGTTGATTTTTTTAAAGGGAAAGGTTAAATATGGGTGAATAACACCTTTCCTGGGGTGTATGATTTAAACATACTTATGGATTAATGCCCTTTGGACTAAGAGCTACCCAAATTAGAGGGGGGAAAGACAAATCAATCGTTGGAACGGAATTTACCAGTTTAATAGCTTGGCACAAAGACATCCTGACTTTTATTATCTATATTATACTTACAATGTGACTTGAAACATCCTATTTGATGGTTGGTGCTTTTACCCTCCATTAATACCAAGTGGGAGAAATTTTATTTACTACAGCATTTTAAATAATCACAAGATGAAAGAAAATTTTTGTCATTTCACCTAATAACAACAATGGGATATAGAGCATTAAGGACTTCCTTTGGATACACTTCCCATCAATTATCTGACTCTTTAAATACAGGTTTTAATCTATGAAGATAATGGCTGACAGAATTTAAAGGTTTCATGCATTCATCACAGTAGTTTTCAAGTTTTGCATTTAGATGAATATGCCAAGAGCCCTTTCCTGACCAATTATCAAGGTAGAAAGATTGTATCAGTTGTCAACATTGCTTTTACTGAACCTTCTAAGAGTTTCCATTATTTACCTCTTTGTCAGATTAATTTTCCTAGGTGACTCTTTACTGTGAGTTCTGTATAAAGAGACTGACTCCTGTAGCATTTTGTCTGTCCCTTTGTTCACACCATATTTGTTTAGTACCCTTATCAGAAACGGGGCACTTTGCATGACGTTGAGTTAGCATGTCTGGACCATGTTAACATGTTGGAACTCATTCTTGGTTTAGTTATTCTAAATTTCTGTCTTGAATTACAAATAGATGGACTTGGCTTCCTGTTTGTACTGAGATATGTCCTAGTACATTCACAGGTACTTTTTTTTTTCACTTCATACAGCTCTTTTTTTTTTTTTCATTACTAAGAAATCTAGAACTTTAAATGATTGAGGAAAAGGCACCCCATTTGCTTCTTCTTTTAAACAGCATGGCTGTTTTAAACATCTGGATGGAATTAGAGAAACCCAAGTACCTCAGCTCACACCTCTCTTTTTCTCCTCCTCCAGGCAGAGCAAGGAATGGATGACTCAGTTATTTGTGCAAAGTCACACTTAGACTTTCAATCCATTACCCCAAAATATTTATAAAACAGGTTAGGACCAAAGGGCTACTAGGGGAGACCAAGGTCTTAGACAGCTGGTGTGGGAAAGCAAAAGGCCTTCGCTGACTTCATAAAAAGGAGAAGTCCCCACTGTCTCCGAATCTGTGAGGTGTGGCTCCTCCCCCATGTTGGTAGTGGAGTTGGCCCCTTGTCTGGCTCTGAAGACCCTCTCCTGGCTGTCATAGATTGCTCCTTAGAAGCCTTTCCACTGTGATAATGGCTTAAAGGAGACAGACTGTTGCAACGAGAGCCACTTAGAAAGGATAAATTATCCTTCTGCAGATGTTTTTAACGGGTGATTCCCAATGCTAGTTTCATGATCATGGAAAAGAGTTCCTGCTCAAACTGAAAAAGGAAAGATGAAAGTAGTCACTAAGCGTCCAGAGCTGAAAATGGGCGGTTTTTATGATTGGTGTTTACTTGAACTGAGTGCAACACATATTTATGGGACAGATACCATATATAATACTTAATAATAACCCCTTCCATTTGGGGTTTTATTCATTCTGCTGTAATTGGATTTTCTTAATATTCATTAAAAGACTTTTCTTTTATTATACTTTTTTTTTGTATTTGTGTTTGTTGCTTATAGTTTGTGGGATGGAGCAGAGTGAGATGAGTTAAGCAAATTCTTCTAACAATAATAACAGTAATAACAATATAATGTGTGTTGACTACTTACTATGCTCCAGGCACTTATAGCAGCTTTACGAATATTTACTTAGTCCTCTTATGGCCATAGGGGAGAGGCAACATTGTCTTCCTAGTATGACACCTTTAATTCATCCTTTTTGTTTGTTTCTAATCCCTTTCCACCTCTGTCCTGCTCTGTGTCCCTGTCTCTGTCACTCTCTGTTTCGGTGTCTCTGTCTCTCTTTTTCCTTCCTGGGACAAGGGCTATAAATACTTAGTGTCCTAGGGTAATACAAGAGCTAAGTAAGAACTGCTGAAGTCATTAAACAGTTCACTTTCACCAGGAAAAGCTCACCCATGTCCATGCAGCTTTACGTCTAAGATGATGGTGCTCACAGTCACTCACAGGGATCCGTGCCACGCTTCGTTAGTGAGTGGGAGAACATGGGCCTTCCTTCAGAGCTGTCTTGTCCTTTCAGGGATGAACATGGAAAGTACAGACAGAGAGCTCTTCTGCTGTCATAGTAATACTTCTTCCCTGGTAGGATTTCCGAATTCCAAGCACGCTTCACTTGTTTGCTTAAGCCCAATCTAGGCTTGTTCTGGCTGTTGCGTGCTTTTATTTCATTTATTTTTTAATTACGGTAAGCATTTAACATAAGATCTACCCTATTAGCAATTTTTAAGTGTATAATACAGTATTGTTAACTACAGACACATTGTTGTACAGCAGATTGTTAGAACTTACTCATCTTGATGTAACTGAAACTTTATCCCTATTGATCAGCAACTCCCCCATTCCTCTCTCCCTCAGTCCCTGGCAACCACCATTCTACTCTCTTATCCTATGGAGTCTGACTATTTTGATACCTCATGTAAATGGAATCATGCAGCATTTGTCTTTCTGTGACTGGCTTATTTCACTGAGTATCATGTCCTCCAGATTTATCCCTGTTGTCAGATGCTAGGATTTCCTTCTTTTTTGAAAGCCGAATAATATTCCATTATATGTAGATAACGCATCCATTTTGTCAACATCATGGCTATTGTGCAAAATGCTGGAATGAACATAGGAATGATAATATTTCTTCAAGGTCCTGATTTCAGTTCTTTTTGTTAAATATCCAGAAGTGGGATCACTGGCTCATATGGTCATTTTATCTTTGAATTTCTGAGAACTTTCCATTGAGTTTTCCACAGACGCTGCACCAGTTGACACTCCTGCCAACAGTAGGGCCACTTTCTCCACATCTTCACCAACACTTATTATCTGTGGTGTTTGTTGAAATGGTAGCCAATTGAGTTATCCTTTGCCTTGATGCAGTTCTGAAGTCCAGATATAAGCACCTGGTTCTTTCAGAAATAGTGCATCCTATGTTCTGTCTGTGGCCTTTGAATAATACTGACCTTTATTTTCTGATTCATTAATTTGCTCAACAAGTAGTCATTCAGATCCTCTAAGTCAATCACCATGAACGTATTTTGTATTTAATTCTAATAACTAACATGGGCTGTGTGTTTACTACAGTGCCAGGAGTGGAGCTCTGTGCTGTATTTTACATTGCTATCTTTACTGTTCACAAGAACCATGTAAAGTATATATTGACTCCATTCTCCAGAGGAAGAAAATAATGTTTGGAAAGGATAAAAACCATCTTGACCAAAGTCATTCATTTAGTAAGTAATAGGGGCAGCATTTGAACCAGAAATCTAACTCTACAGCTGATGCTTTAACTGTAAATATTTTTTAGCCATGAGAATCAATTTTTGTATTACTTGTTTTAAATAAGAAATTGATCAAAGTTTTGAACTGCCAGTGTCAAACAAGATTTTTATGATGGTGCACCTCATTAAAACAATGACTACTTTTAGTTAAAGGTGAACTTGGTTTTTAAAATGTTAGTTGATGGCCTTTCCATAATCTAAATTACCTACAAGTCTAAAAGGTATATCTCAGAGTCTAGCAGACTTTTTTTCTCACCAAAAAATTGGGCCCTAGTCACCAGTTATTTTTGAGCTATATATTAACTGGTCTAAAATCTGATAGATACTTTGACAATAATAAAACCAGCAAAGTAATTTCCATAGTGAATTCATCAGGTTGCAACCTGAGTTTTCTTTCCCTCTGATTCTATTAAGATGCCTCTCTCTGTATTTAGGGAAAATCAGTTTGAAATTACACTGCTGTCACAACTCATGAGATTATTTTACCGACATACAAGTTACCTACATTTGATCCAATTTTTCTGACTTTTAGATCTCAATGAGATGCAGTTGAAGAGTTCAGCAACAATGGTTATTCCATTGATTTGAAAACTGAGACAATTTTTGGAAATTATTCAATAGTTGGGTAGAGTAACTTTGTGAGAAGACACATTTTAAATAAAATGCAGCCTGGGTTCCCATTATTTGAGGCACATTAAACTTTCTCAGATACTTTCAGACCTGGATCACTTAATAAACTACAGCAGAAATACTAAAAATATCCAGTCAGGTAACATGGGGCATGGAGCAGATACACAGTTAATACTTAACACTTCATTTCATGACCCCAGTTAGCCTGAAGGAATTAACAAACCTTCTCAAATACCTACGTGAGAACCATTTATTCCTCCTCTAGGCACTTATTTCTAAATAAAGGTGGAAAAACTCTA